CTCATTCCCCTAACCCTGAATATGGCAGAGTCAAAAAGGATATGGAAGGAAAGACTGATAAAATACCAAGGCAGAAATAGGTTGCCAAAACGAAGAAAAACAAAAATGATTGTCTGTACTTTTAATGCTGGTACGCTGGCATCTGCTGCATCCATTGAAGACCTTATGGTACAAGCGCGAAAGATCAAGTACGACATCATTGGTCAGACCGAAACAAGAAGACATCAATCACATCATGCCGTTTTCGACACTGGAGAAGAACTGTTCCTTGGAACATGTGATAAAAGAGGCGTCAGTGGTGTCGGTATTCTTGTCAACACAAACTTAGCCATGAGCATTGATTCATTCGAATGCCTAACAACCCGAATCGTATGATTACACTTGAATAGATGTGGCTCACTACCGGCAGTTTCTATCTTTGTTGTCTATGCACCAACATCCAGTTATGGTGAAAGAGAAACTGAGAAGTTCTACATGGAGCTGGAGAAGTTCTATAAAGAAGATCACACCTTCTACAAGATCATTGTCGGTGATTTTAATGCCAAGATAGGACCAAGAAGATCAGTCGATGAACTCCACATCGGGACCCATGGCCTAGAATGGAACGAACAGGGTGACAGACTGTCTGAGTTCATCATGTCAACCAAAACCTTCCATGGTAACTCACAGTTCCAAAAGGCTGAATCTAAACGTTGGACATGGGAGTCTCCCGATGGACGGTTCCACAATGAAATAGACCATATCATATTCAATCGGCGGTTTTGCCTAACCGATGTTGCTGTTGTCCCAAAATTCCAAACGGGATCAGACCACCGTCTTCTTTGTGCAAAATTCTACCTCACAGAACAAGGAGAAAAGAATGCAAGGTTTAAGAAGAGGACTCCCAGAATGACCACCAACAGGGAGCTCTTTGGCTCTGTTGCAGCAACATGGGAAGATGCCGTCATTGACAACATTGATGAGGAATACGATCGAATGATTCAGCACCTCCATGATTGTGCGAGGAATGCCAAGAGAGAGATAACCACAAAAAACTGCCTTTCTTCGAACACTCTTGAACTTATTCGCCAAAGTGGCTTGGCACATGCCTCAGGCAACCACAAGCGAACATCCGAACTGGCAAAACAGTGCAGAGAAGCCATCAAGGATGACCTCAAAAACAGGAGAGCAGCAGTACTGGTAGATGCGGCAGAAGCTGGGAAAAGCATTCATAATGCCCGCCTGTCCTTCACCAACTACAAAACCAAGATGACTGCCCTCCGACATCATGATGGATCTATCACATCTTCCAGAAGGGCAATGGAGAAGATTATTCATGACTTCTACTCAGATCTCTTTAATAGCCACGTCCACTTGCCCACATACCACATACCACATGATGGATATGTCGTTCCCAATGTTATCCCTTCCGAAATCCAACATGCCATCTGTCGGTAAAGAAACAGGGAGCACCTGGCCCAGACAAGATCAGACCTGAACACCTGAAGAACTTACGATCAGTACTCATCAATACATTGGCTCGGCTCTTCACACGCTACCTGTCTGAATGCAAGGTTCCATCCCAATGGAAAACCAGCAGGACTGTACTACTATAAAAGAAGGGAGACATCCATGACATTGGCAACTATCGCCCAATCTGCCTATTGTCTGTCGTCTACAAACCGTTCACTCGAGTCATCCTGAATAGGATTAGCAGAACACTAGATGAAGGACAACCATATGAACAAACCGGATTCCGAAAAGGATTCAGTACCATCGACCATATCCACACGATTACTAAGCTCATTGAGGTTTCTCGGGAGTTCAAAATGCTGCTCTGTCTAACGTTCATTGATTTAAAGAAGGCCTTTGATTCTGTTGAGACGGAAGCGGTCATGGAAGCCCTAGCAAATCAGGGCATACAAACTCAATACATCAGGATCCTTCGTGAGTTCTATTGCGGATTCACTACCAAGATCTCACCATTCTACAAAGAAGTAATCATCCATATCAAGAGAGGGGTTCAGCAGGGTGATACCATTTCACCAAAACTCTTCAGTGCCACCCTCGAGAACATCATGCGATGACTAGAATGGGAAAGCATGGGAGTGAAGATAGATGGGCGGGAACTACACCACCTCTGCTTTGTTGATGACATTGTTCTAATAACACCAAACATCAGTCAAGTGGCACAAATGCTGAACGACTTTGACCGTGAATGTGGAAAGGTCGGACTACAGCTGAATCTTACGAAGACAATGTTTATGAGAAACAGCCTTGTTCCTGATGCTCCATTCGCTCTCAACGGAACCACCATCTCCGAATGCAACAGTTATATATACCTAGGTTGAGAAATCAACATGATGAATGACCTGGCACCTGAGTTGCGCAGGAGGAAGAGAGAGGCTTAGAATGCCTTCAAGAACGTTGAAGAAATAACTAAAAGGACAAAGAACCTCCAGCTACAAGCACATCTCTTTGATTCCACTGTTCTTCCTGCATTAACATATGCCTCAGAGACCTGGACCCTACAAAAACAGGATGAGAACGCTATTCGGGTCTGTCAAAGAGGAATCAAAAGAGCTATGCTTGGAATATCACGATCCACTCAAATGGGAGAGAGAATCCGGAGTTCTGATCTTCGTCAACGCTCAAGAATCAGGGACGCTGTCTCATTTGCCAAGACATCAAAAATCAGATGGGCTGGACACGTAATGAGGTTTACAGACAACCGCTGGACTAGAGCCATTACTGATTGGATTCCACGGGACATCAAAAGATCACGTGGACGCCCACCTACAAGATGGTCAGACTTCTTCGTCAAGACCCTGAATGATCGGTTTGAGGCTCTGCATGTTCCTAGAACGAACAGATACCATTGGGCTACGCTAGCACGCAACCAGGATGAATGGAGACATTACTGGCACTCGCTCGAGTAAATCAATGAATAACGGGGATTAAGTGACAAGTGATTAAGTGTTTTAGTTTGGATCTTCTTTATTCAGTATTATATTTTTTTCCTTTAATCTAATTTAGTTGAAGTTACAATCTTTTCATGTTATAACAGATTTTGAGTGTATTTTAATTTTAAATTGTGTCTTTTCCTTTAAGGTTCTCTATCTTCTCCAATTTGCAGTTTCATCCTTCTGTTGCTTCCAATTTAATGGAAATAATTTTCAAACTGTGTGTGTATGTGAGCGTCTTTGAGTGTCTGTGTGTGTGTTTCCAGGATCAAAGCAAGAAACCATATAATTGAAGCATGTGTTCTACCACAAAGTCATGTTCCTGGCCTCTATCATTTTAAAAGTTCAAAGTAAAGTAAAGTAAAAGTTCAAAGTTAAGGATTTTAAGTCCCGTTGTGTTGACCTTTTTTTATCACTTCTTTTCAAAGTTTACTTTATAAATATGTAAGAGATTTACTTAAAAGATACTAACAACCACATTTAACTCAGTACCATGGCAAGAATATAAACGTTTAGAGATGTCCCACCTGAAGTTTCTTATTTTCAATTGTCATGCTGAGAGTGTGAAAGTAGCCCACAAATTTGTCACCAGGTTAAAATAGTTAACCTTCTATGCTCATTCCTCATTATTAGTAACAATAGTGAAATAGCTCAGGGGAATTTTGCAATTTTAACCTTTCTTGGACAAATCCCCCTCTCTCCTCTATCTTTGCAGTGTTGTTTTCTTTTTGAGCTCTGCGTATTGGCCCATAAAGCCTTACTCGTGGCTCTGAACTCAGGGATCATTCTTGGTGTGACTTGAAAGTATATATCGTGCCAGAGATTGAACCCAAGTCAACCATTTCCAAGCAAATGCCCTACCATCTCTATCACTTTGGCCTCTTGTGTTGGCAACCTAGAGTTTCTTCATGTCCTTTGCAATCTCAGAGTCTTTGGACATGATGTTCTTTCTAGCTGGAATGTTTCCTGGACTTCCTTTTTGTACAATTGCTACTCTTTATTTTTTGATTCCCAATCTAAACATAATCAAGATTCTTTTGATTGTCTCCCTTATATTTGGTAGTTTTTCTGGATAGTCCTTCCAGACAATGTATTTCTTTCTGAATTTTATCATAAGAACAGTAAAAAAAAGTGAATTTCTTCTATCACTCTCTCAAATATAATTTTTCTTCTACTGCCATCACAGCAAGAACTGTGTCTGCCTTGCTGATTGATTGTTCTGTCTCTGATGTTTACTCCAATACTGGACCCTAAATTACATAGTAATTATTTTTTGAGCCAAAAAAAAGGAAAGGAAGATTTATGAAGAAACATTGTTTTCAATTTCTTTCTTCTATTTGTGAGAAAACTGGTACATCTAAATTCTTTTGAAAATGTTTGCAGTCTAATATATCTTTAGAAAGTGGTTGAAGGGGATGACAAACTCACTAAGTTGTGGGGAAGGACAGTAACCTCTATATTGGTAGCCACTAATTGGTCTACTGCCACGCTGAGAAAAGTTACTTCCCTCGAACCAAGACTTCATACATATGGAACATCTTAGAAGCAATGATCAACATACATATTTGAACAGAATTTTAAGCTTAGAGCACAGCGGGCCTTATTTCTCCTCAACAATTAATGAGAGCACAGTATATAGAAAGCAGTGTGAAAAAATCCTGTAGAAATGGAGAACAGAGCGAGGTTTCTTAGTGTGTTGCACTCTAAAAAGCCAAGCAAAAAAAAGAGGGGAAATTATCAACATGAAGGAGTATTATACTAGAAGAACAGTCAGAATTCCCTAGTGTTTCATGGGGATGATTAGTGATATAAAGGTGTAAACTTATGGAGGTAGCAATGTGTATGCATGTACAAAGAACTATGAGGTCAGCTGTGGCTTGCTATAAATGATTCAATATATTAAAAAAAAGAACTTGAGTTCAGAAGAACAAAAAAAACTGTGCTGAGGTACTTTGAGGATAGGGACTATATGCACTCATTTTATTTTTGTTTTTGCAAAGTTTTTTGCATATCACATTGCAGCCACTATGGAGAATAGACTAAAGAGGGAATGAAGCAATGGTAACAGGTAAGAACCTATTTAGACAACTGTGTTAACTGTGTTAAAATGATCAAATTATGTCAGTGCTGTAAGTTAGAAGATCAAATATGCAAAATAGAAAAATATACCTTAGATTGAAATAAACACTGCAACCCATCTTTTGGGAAAAATATGGCAAATTTATCAAAAACAATGTTAAATGTAATTATAGAAATAAAAATTGTGAAGGAGGCTGCAATATTCAACTTTATTATCGATTTAATAAACACTGAATATATCCTTCCATCTTTATTATTAATCTTTATTAAGCAAGTAAAGATATCCAGATGAACTCTCTGAGCACAAACATAATTCTTAACTTTGGTGGGTGAGAATCTGAGAAAGGCGCCCAAGAGAAACTCTGTGACTGAAGGAATCTCTCCTGGTGATTCTCAAACAATCTGGCGAGAGAGTTTAGTACTGGAGATCAATTAATCTGTGTTTCTTGGGACCTGAGTTGTGGTCGGCAATCCAGCTCCAGCCTTTTGAAATTTCTCCTCAGCCCCCAAATCTATTTTACATTTCTCTTCTATAAGAGCAAACTGCTATGCACAGGTTCTTCTCTCTGATGATTATATATCTTTCAACTTAAGTTTAATCAGGACTTTAAGGACAGATCTACTCACAAGATCAAATAGACCAAATTATAGCTATAGTGAAAGTTAGTAATTATTAGCTTTCACACCACTTAGTAATTGCTTGACATGAATTCATTGTACTTAAACTTCTGAGTGGTTAAAAGTCTCATATATTGTGGACGGCACATATGTCTGATTTTTTTTTTTAATTAGTGAAACACGGTGAGGTACAGTTGTAGACTTACAAACTTTTGTGCATGAGTTTGTTATACAATGATAGAGTACCCATCCCTCCACCAGTGCCCATTCTCCACCAACAATGATCCCAGTAGCCCTCCCACCACCGAACCTCATTGCCCACAACCCACCTCGCCTTTGTCGCAGGGCATTCCCTATTGCTCTCTCTTTCATTTAGGGCATTGTGGTTTGCAATAGAGGCATTGAGTGGCCATCATGTTGGGTCAATACTCTACGTTAGCATGCATCTTGCATCCCGAGAGAATCCTCCAAATATCCTTTACTTGGTATTCCCTTCTCTATCTGAGCTGCCTTTCCCCCCAGCATGTGCTGCCAACTTCCAAGCAATGGAGCAGACCTCCTGGTACTTATCACAACTATTCTTGGGTGCTCGACTCCCATTCTGTTATTTTATATTCCCCAGATGAGTGCAGTCTTTCTATGTCTGTCACTCTCTTTCTTTTTCATTTCATTTAGCATGATACTTTCCATGTAAAGCCCCTTGTATGTAAATTCCATGACTTCATCTTTTCTAACAGCTGCATAATATTCCATTGTGTATATGTACCAAAGTTTTTTTAACCAGTCATCTGTTCTCGGGCACTCAGGTTTTTTCCAAATTTTGGCTATTGTGAACAGTGCAACAATGAACATAGAAGTGCAGATGTCATTTTGATTGTACTTTTTTGCCTATCAGGGACATATTCCCAGGAGTGGTATTGCTGGGTCAAATGGGAGCTCAATTTCGAATTTTTTGAGAATTGTCGATACTGTTTTCCAAAAGGGCTGAACCAGTCGGCATTCCCTCTAGCAGTGAAGGAGGGTCCCTTTCTCGTCACATCAGTAACAACATGGGTTGCTTTTGTGCTTTTTGGACGTGGACCATTCTCTGTCAATGAGAGATATCTCATTGTTGCTTTTATCTGCATCTCCCAAATAATAATGTAGAGCATTTTCTCATGTGCCTTTTTGCCATTCAGATTTCTTCTTTGAGAAAGTTTCTGTTCATTCCGTCACCCCATTTTTGATGGGTTTGGATGGGTTTCTTCTTGTGGAGTTCAACCAGTGCTTTGTATATTCTTGATATCAACCCCTTGACAAATGGGTATTGGTTGAATATCCTTTCACATTCTATAGACTGTCTTTGTATTTTGGTCACTGTTTCTTTTGAGGTGCAGAAGCTTCTTAGTTTAAGTTAGTCCCATTTGTCTATCTGTTTTCACTTGCTTGGCCAGTGGCGTATCATCTTTGCAGATACCATTAGTTTCAATGTCGTGGAGGGTTTTGCCAACCTTGTCTTCAATGTACCTTATGGATTCCGGTCTGATGTTGAGACCTTTAATTTATTTTGATCTGACTTTTGCACATGATGTTAAGCAGAGATCTGAGTCTATTTTTTGCATGTTGTTATCCAGTTTTGCTAGCACAATTTGTTAAAGGCTTTCCTTGCTCCACTTTACATTTCTTACTCCTAAATTAAAGATTAGATGATCATATATTTGTTGGGAGATGTCAGTATATTCAATCCTGTTCCATTCATCTGTGATACTGCCTTTGTTCCAGTACCATGCTGTTTTAATTATTACTGCTTTGTAGTAGAGTTTTAGGTTGGGGAGGTTGATTCCTCACATTTTCTTTTTCCCAAGAATTGCTTTAACTATTTGTGGGTGCTTATTTTTTCATATGAATTTCATGACCATTTATTCCATTTCTTTGAAGAATGTCATGGGTATCGTTATAGGGATCACATTGAATTTTACAATGCTTTGGTAAGTATTGCCATTTTGACAATGTTAATTCTCCCAATCCATGAGCAGGGGATATCTTTCCATTTTAACATGTCCTCTTTTATTTCCTGAAGTAGAGTTTTGTAGTTTCCTTTGTACAGGTCTTTTACTTTCTTAGTTATGCTGATTACTAGGTACTTAGTTTTCTGGGGCACAATTGTTAACAGGACTGTTTTTTTTTCATGTTGCTTTCTTCTCTCTCTTAATTTGTGTATAGGAATGCCATGGACTTTTGGGTATTGATTTAATAGCCTGCAACTTTACTATACAATTCTATTGTTCCTAGGAGTTTCTTGGTAGAGGTTTTATGTTTCTCTAATTATAATGTCAGATCATCTGCGAAAAGTGAGAACTTGATTTCTTCCTTTCCTACTTGAATGTCCTTAATATCTTTTTCTTGCCTAACCACTATTGCAAGTACTTCCCATACTGTATTGAACAGCAGTGGAGAGAGTGGCCATCCTTGTCTCCTCCCTGATTTTACAAGAAAGGCTCTTAATTTTTCCCCATTGAGGATAATGCTTGCCATAGGGTTGTGGTAGATTGCTTTAACTATATTAAGGAAAGTCCCTTCTCTACACATTTTGGTGAGGGTGTTTATCAAAAATGGGTGCTGGATCTTGTCAAATGTTTTCTCTGCATCTATTGATATGATCCTATGGTTCTTGTCTTTTCTTTTCTTGATATGATGGATTATGTTGATTAACTTCCGAATGTAAACCATCCTTGCATCACTGGGATGAATCCCAATAGGTCATGCTCTATGATACTTTTGATGAGTTGTTGAATTCTATTTACTAGTATTTTGTTGAGTATCTTTGCATCCGTGTTCATCAGAGATATCGTCTTGTAGTTTTCTTTTCTTGTGGTGTCTTTTTTTCCTTTTGGTATTAAAGAGATAGGAGCTTCATAGAAACTGTTTGGGAGAATTTCTGTTTTTTCAATTTCCTGGAAAAGCTTGAGAAGAACTAGCAATAGGTCCTCTTTAAATGTTTGGAAAAATCCTCTAGTAAATTCATCTGGACCTGCGCTTTTGTTTTTAGGAAGACTTTTGATTACAGTTTCAATTTCCTTGCTATTAATTGGACTATTCAGGTATTCTAGGTCTTCTTGATTCAGCCTTGGGAGATATAGGAATCCAGGAATTTAACCGTTTCTTCTAGGTTCTCTTGTTTTGTGACATACAGACTTCAAAGTAGTCTCTGATGGTCTTTTGAATTTCTTTGGTTTCTGTTGTGATATTCCCCTTCTCATTTCTGATTTGTTTTATTAGGGTTCCCTCTCTCTCTTTCTTTGTGAGTCTTGCTAGTTGTTTATCTATCTTGTTTATTTTGTGAAGAACCTGCTTTTGGTTACATTGACCATTCAGATTGTTTTTTGGGTTTCCATGTCATTGATTTCTGCTCTAAGTTTTATGATCTATTTCCTCCTGCCTGGTTTGGAATCCTTTTGTTGTCTTTTTTCTAAGATTTTGAACTGTGAAGTCAAGTTGTTTATATGGGCCCTTTCTTCCTTCCTGAGAAATGCTTGCAGAGCTATAAATTTTACCCTTAACATTGCTTTAGCTGCATCAAATAGATTCTGGTAGCTCGTGTCTACATTCTCATTTGCTTCCAGGTATCTTTTGATTTCTTCTTTCATTCGTTTCCTGACCCACTCGTTGTTCAGCATTGATTTGTTTAATTTCTAGGTGTTTGATTTGGCTTTCTGCATCTCTACATGATTAACTTCTATCTTCAGTGCATCATGGTCTGAGAAGATAGTTGATACAATGTCTATCTTCCTGATTATGTTGAAGTATGCTTTGTGGCCCAGCACATGGTCTAATTCTGTAAAATGTTCCACGTGCACTGGAAAGAAATGTGTATCCTTTTTCGGGGGGGTATAAAGTCCTGTATACATCTATTAGCCCTACTATTTCTTACATCAGAGCCATTATTTCCTTGCTGAGTTTTTATCTTCTTGATCTATCCAGGTGTCATAAGGCAGTGTTGAAGTCTCCAATTACTATAGTGTTGCTTGCAATGTCCTTCTCATGGTCTTTAAGCAGTTGTTATAGATATTTGGCTGGTCCCTCATTGGGTTCATATATGCTTAGGAGTGTGATTTCTTCCTGATGTACATATCCTTTGATTAATAAAAAAATGGCCTTCACTATCCCTTTTAATCTTTTTCAACCTGAAATTTAAGTTGTCCAATAATACTAAGGCCACTCCACCTTTCTTGAGGGGGTGGTTTGCTTGCAGGGTTGTTTTTCATCCTTTGACTTTAAGTCTGTGTTTGTTCTGATTTTGCAGATGTGTTGCTATAGGTAGCAGTATGTTGGGGTCTGTCTCTGAATCCATTTTGCCACTCTGTGTCTCTTAATTGGTGAATTTAGACCACT